GTGTGCAGCCTGGAGAAGAGAAGGCTCCGGGGAGACCTTCCAGCAGCTTCCAGTGCTGAAAGGGGGCTACAGGAGAGAAGGAGGGGCTCTGGATCAGGGGGTGCAGTGATAGGATGAGCAGTGATGGTTTTAAAGCTGAAAGAGGGGAGATTGAGATGAGATATTAGGAGGAAACGTTCTCCTGTGTGGGTGATGAGGCAGTGGCCCAGGTTGCCCAGAGAAGCTGTGGATGCCCCATCCCTGGAGGGGTTCAAGGCCAGGCTGGATGAGGCTTTGAGCAACCTGGGCTAGTGGGAGGTGTGGGGGTGGAACTGGATGGGCTTTAAGGTCCTTTCCAGCCCAAACCGTCCTGTTTGGAACCCCTGTGTTGGCTCTGTATTGTGAAAGGAAGTGGAAGGAGCAAGTGGCTTGTAGGCTGTGCTCCATTGTAAGCTGCCTGCTAAATGAGCTGCAGTGTAATCTGCTTGCATTTCCTTTCCCATTTGGGGAAGGGGCGGTGTAGATATTACGGCATAGCATTGTTATATCTATTTGGCCCTTGCATGCGACACCGTGGTCGTACATTGTTCAGTCTTGCAGTGTAGACAGATGTCACTGAGAGCACCCTGATACAATCGCAGTGCAGTTAGTAGGTCTTACTGCTACCACAGATCTTTGCAGAATGGAGCCATGCAGATTTGCTCAGTGTAGACTCATGTTACACCACTTCAGAATCCGTTGCTTTAATAATTTATTTTGTGGTTGGACTTGATGATCTTAAAGGTCTTTTCCAACCTAAATGTTTGTATGATTTTTTTTGCTATATTTAATCTCTGTGCGTGAAGATTCTGCCTGTGAGTCGAGTCCCACAATTGTAACTGAGTCATATCTGCCCTGGGAGAGGTCTGTGCAGTTCATGAGCTGGGGTGGACTTCTCCACCGGCATCTAGCAGGGATTTTGCTTCCCACCCCCCCCACTCAACTGGATATTTTGCTTTCCTGTTGCCTGTGGGTCCTGTTCACTGGATTGCAGTTCGCAGCAAGGTGCTCTTGGGGGTAGAAGGAGGAGGAGTGTAGCTCTTGTGTCTTCAAACAAGTGCGTGTTTGTAGAATAAAGTGGTGGACTTGGGAGGGTTAGGTTTACGGTTGGACTCGATGATCTTAAAGGTCTTTTCCAACCTAAATGGTTCTGTGGTTCTATGATCTTTTTGGCCAGTAGACGGCAGCAGGGTTATTTGTGCTTGTGCCTCTTCCAAGCTGAATACCTGACCTTCCTGTTTTTAAGGGAGGAATTAGCTGCCACATGTTGGAGCTCTCCAGGAAAGTAAGCATTCCTTGGTTCTGATGTTGGGCATTTGCCAGTTATTTGTGTGTAGGAGTTGGATTTCTGGGGAGGTTGTATGTGCCCTGTTAGGCAGTATTGTTCCTGCAGGCTGGCAGATTGCTGCCATACTTGGATGTCCATGTGTGGAGAACTGAAGCAAGTGCCACTCTCATTCCCGAATTTGCATCTCTAGGGAATGCTATTCTTTCATTAATTTAGCTCCATCCTGTGAATCAGGAGTAGCTGGGGCTGACTGAGAGCGAGCACTGCCAGACTGCTGTGGCTCTGGAGGAGGAGCAGCGCTCCAGCTGCTAGGCAGTGGAAGACCCGAGGAGACATTGCATCTGTGCCTGGTGCAGCCCCTTGACTTCCCTCGCCTGGCTTTTTGGGACCTCAGAGGCTCTCTGGGCCTCTCTTGGGCTGTTCCATCTCCGTGGGCTGCCTCTGCCGTGGGTGCCTGGTCAGTGTGGACAAGGAGGTCCCGCCTTCCTCCCCACACGTGGCAGGGAGTTGAGATGCTGCAGCAAGCTGAAGGGCAGCAAGAGCAGTGACTTTGCAGCCTGGGCCTTGGGCTGGCATTGCTCATGGGAGGAGTGGGAAGACTTGATTCACCACTCAGGTATTTGTCACACTCATGTGGCAGTGAGGTGAGCCCCTGCATGATCCCTGATGTCACGGCTGCCTCTCTCTTCCCAGTTAGCCTGTTAAACTAGTGCAGATCTCAAGCACTGTGGGCTAAACCCTGTGTAATTCCTGGCAGCTGGTGTCTGCCGTGGGGATATTGGGGAAATTCAGATGGGGACATCATCGCCTGGCTCTTAATGCTGTTTATTACAAAACAAAACCTGTTTGAGCACCTTCTCCTTGCGTGGCCTCTTGTCTGTCTTGCTCTCTTGAGCCTCTCTGCAGCTGTGCCTTCCAGCAGGTATTTAGGAGAAGTGGCCGAAGCGCCTGCCCCTGCCTGTGCCTCTCAGGGCGGAGCTGTGGGACCTTCTGGCCTTGGCGGAGGTGGCATCCTGGGCCCCAAACACCTCAGCAGCCGTGGTGTAGGTAGCGTTCCCCTGGTTCACAGTTCTTGACCCTTTCCCTTCTCTGTCTGCAGCAACACCTTACGAGTGACCCGCTCTGCAGCCCCCACCAGTCTGGATGCCACTGGGGGCCCTGCCCAGCTGGGGAAGAAGGGCAAGGACTTCGACTTCTCCCAGTTACCCATGAAGGTGGAATTCGTGGAGTGCAGTGCTCGGGGCAGCAAGGGAGAGGAGGGAGATGCTGACTTCGAGGGCCTGGAGAAATGGCTGGCCAAGATCGCCTGAATGGAGAAGGGCAGGGCTGGAGGGAGAGACCTGGGGTGGCTGGGGGGCAGGACACTTGGGAACTGAAAGGAAAAAGATGGTCTGAAGCATTCAAATCTCATCTTGTAGAAGAAACTTAAGCTGGAAACCAGCATTGCAGTGTCCTCCTGTGCTGCTCATGGGCTTGGGAGCAACATGATGCTGGTGTGATTTCCTCTGACTGTCTCTTTACAGTCAAACATTTTTTTTCCTCTCCCCTCTTCCTTTGCTTTCCTCTGGGATGCTGACCCTCCAGGCTTCTATGTTCCCTTAATCTTTAGGCTTTTCACTTGGTAGCTGCCAGGCAAATTAGGAAGGAGCGGAACTGCCAGGTGAGTGTTAGAGATTGCAGCCCGCGTATTGTCTTCTGCCTTGGTTGAGCGTTGCAGCCCTGTTACCTCTCGGAGCTACAGATTACCTACTTCTGACTTCTTTCCCCAGGCTCTTGCTGCTTGGGAGCACAGTGTGCAGCTGCTCTCTGCTGGGCAGTCATTGAGGAGAATATAAAAAGCTGTTTACTTCTGTATCTCCTCCCTTCCCATTCCTCCACACTGTTGCAGCCCGGTTTCTGTGGGACTGGAGTGGTCTATTAAACCCTAAAACCAGGCTGGCTGCTCTGCCTTTGTCACTGCACTGCCTGTGTCCAGCTGCAGTGCCCGTGTCTTTGGGTGATTTCCACTGTGGGACAGTTCTTGGGGAGTTTTTCTTTAACTCGGGGCTATGTTCTGAAAGCTTGGTTCACTCTGCTTCTCCTTCCCATACTTCAGGCTCCTCCACAGGTGTTTGCTGTGCGGTACCCTGCCTGTTTCCTGCTCCAGTGACTGCAAGAAGATCTTTTTGTGTGTGTAATTAGGCAGCAGTTGTGGCAAAGTGAGAGGGAAAGTCAAGGAGCCGCTAGCACTTGAGTGTGATTCCTCCTCCTGAGGAAGGTGCTTAGTGAAGAGGGGAAAGGAACAAACTCAGAAAATATCATGGTTTTGTTTGTCTGTGGTATTTAAAGCCCAGGTTGCTGTTGTGTGTGTGATCTCAACTGTTAATCTTGCAGGGAGGATTCAGGGAATGCCTGTTGCTGTAGCTATCGCAGTGGCTCAGGAGGCTACTCGGAGTGTTTTGGGGGCTCGGATTCAGCATCCTTCTGAACTTCCCAAGGGACATTTGCTTTCCTCCTTCACATGCTCTGGCCAGGAGCATCGGTTATCCAAAGAGAGATCTTCCAGCAGCGTTGGTCTTGGTCAGGTGGGAGACAAGCCCCTAGTGCTGTGGGTTCACTTCCCCTTCCTGAACAGCCTTAAAACACAGTTGCCCTGCCCAGCAGCTTCCTGGAGCTTTGTGCTCTGGTGGGGTGCTGTTCCTGTGCAGCACCTGCGTGAGGATGATTGCTCTCCAAGATGCCACACTGGGAATTGTGAGGTCCCGTGGCACTGAAATTTTTTGTTTATTTTTGTTGTTTCCCCTTTTCTTTCAGGTTAGGAGGGAGCGGCTGGCTGATGGTAGACCTTTTCTGTCCTTTGCAGGCTCCTCTCCTTTCTGGTTTGATGCTTCCTTCACCGCTCAACCGATCGGTTGTGTTCTTTTCTTTTCCTTTCTGTCTGGCGCGTCCTCTGCCTCCCTGTAGCATTGCCAAGTGTTGGTAGTGTCAGGAAGATCAAGAATGGTCTTCAGCAAAAACCTGTGCTCATGATGGGGCTGGGCTTCGCGTTTCTAGTCTTGTGAACCCAGAGGCTCTTCTACCTACTCTTGTGAAGTACATTATATTCTTATATTTCCTGCAGCCAGAGCATTGTTGGAACATGTTTGTCATGCTTTGAACTCCCTCAGCTGGAGCTCCCTTCCTAGACTGCCTGCTTTGAATCCGTAATGCTGAAGTGAGAATATCGCTGTTTCCTTGGGTGCTCTGCGTGCAAAGACCTGTCTCCTTCAACAGCACCAGCCTCTGCTGGGCAAGGGGGTTTGGGAGCGTGAGGCTTTAAGTTATTCTTGTTAAAAGTATTCCTTAAATAAACTTTTTTTTTTTTTTTTGCTTAAACGTTTGTTCTCAAGTCTTGGTTTAGTCTGTCTGTTCTCAGTGGTGTCAAATCCACAGGGACTGGGGCTTCACTTCTGCTCAACATGATGCTGGAGATGGACCTTCCTGCTTGGTGGCCAGGTCAGTGTTAAAAAACCAATGTCTCCTCCACCCACAGGGCTTTTGGGGTGCTTTTTTTTTTCTTTTGGAGGGTGTATTTCCTCCTTAGTCTGAATGTTAGAGGCTTGATAATCAGGTAGCAAAAAAACCCCCAAACCACCAACCAAGAAACTTCACAAAAAAGGCACTTGCCTCAAACACACAGGAAAACTCGAGTGTGGCTGCTGTGATGTAAGTCCCTGGAGCGCTTGCCCTGCTCTGGGGTGGAGGTGGCGACACAGTGGGATAGAGAAACCTCGGCTTGCCCTGCCCCAGCCTGGCTGCAGAGTTGGGGGCAGCTGCACCCTATGCCACTAGTTCTGGAGGATAGAGAATGCAGAGCTGTGGGTGGTTTTTCGGCTGCACTCTGACTTGCCTGGGAATATTTGGGGCTGGTATTCTCCAGTGGCTGAGGGAGAAGGACAGAAACGCTGAATGTTGTGTGGTGTTGGGTTTTTTCTTTTTTTTTGTTTTGTTTTGTTTTTGGTTTTGCTTTTTTTGGTTGTTTTTCCCACTTAGCTTTGTGCTTTTCTTTCTGCTCTTGTGCCTAAACCTTGCTTCGTGCTGGCCGGGCAAGCAGCTCACTGCAGCTTGGCAGCCGGTGTGTTCAGATGGCTTTGCGAGAGAGCAGGATGTTGGCTTTTAGCAGCATCAGCTGGGCGAGATGGATGGTGTGGCCTCTGCACAGCGCCCGGCTCTTCAGATAAGCACATGAAGCAATTCTGATGATAGTGGTGGTGTTACCCTGCACAGGGGGTTCATCTCCACATCCCACCAGCTGATACGTCTCTTCCCACTCTTGGGCTGCCTTCCTCCTGCTGGGAGAGGAGGGGGCCTGGGCTG